GCACTCAACCACGACACCAAACTCGGGGGGGGGGGGAGATGACCACATATCGCCCGTAGCTCTTGGGAAAGTTGGGATGAAAATCTGGCCGTTCGTGCAGAACCGTTTGCCAAAAAGAGAGCCGATTTGAGCCAAGCAAACCGATCGGAAAAGGGGGTGGGGAATAATTGGGTGCGAGAGGTAGTTTTCAGGGAGGCAAGAAAAGAGAGAAGCGCGCCCCTGTTCCGGGAGAAATGTTTCGGTCCCAACGTTTGTCTGTCTCCTGCCCTCAGATGTGAGGGCGGTCGTGGAAGCCGGAAGCGTCTGTAGCGGCCTCTCCGTCAAGAAGCGAGACCCCTCCTCCCACTCCTCCAGCTGTGTGGTGGACACGACGACGAAGGGGGAGGAGCTGACGAGCTGGAGAGGTGAGTCCCGGCACGTGCGCACCTGTGCGTGGATGTCCTCAAAGATGAGTGAGGAACGGGTTCTCTTGGCTGGCGAACAACTGACTTGGTTCCTTCTCCGGCCGAATTGGTTGCATAGCTAGAGGACCCATCCTTCTGGCTTACGGGGCAGGTTTTCCATGGATAGAAACGTAGAGCTGGAAGGGACCCTAAGGGTCATCCAGTCCAACCCCCTGACCAAGGCAGGAAATTCACAGCTTCCCCCCCCCTCACCCAGTTGACCCCTGCTCTATGCCCAGAGGAAGGCAGAAAACCTCCAGGATCCCTGGCCCGGGGGGGGAATTCCTTCCTGACCCCAAAGTGGTGATCGGCATTTCCCTGGGCATGTAAGAAAGGGCCACGAGAACTAAGCACTGAAGCAACCCTTCCTACCCTCCTGTCTCGTGATCTGCCTAAGTTCACAAGATCAGCATTGCTGTCAGATGGCCATCTAGCCTCTGCTTGAAAAAACCTCCAGAGGAGGAGAGCCCACCACCTCCCGAGGAAGCCTGTTCCACTGGGGAACCGTTTTCCGCTCTCACTGTCAGGAAGTTCTTCCTAACGTTTAGCCAAAAGCTCTTTTAATGTAATTTCACCCCATTGGCCCTTCTGGGGCAACAGGAAACAACTCCAGTCCCTCCTCCATATGGTCACTCTGCAAATAGAAAGGCGACTAAAAACTAGTTCCTCTGCCTTAGAGGTGGCCTTTATCAGTAGGCAAAATACCATTTTGTGAGCCCCAGTGTGTTTCTCACCCCACAACCAAGCCTACAGATGTCTAGGATCAGGGGACTGGGGCTTCAGCGCTTGGGTCATAGTATTGCACCCCAGGGCCTGTTAAGTCCGATTGGCTCATGCGAGCAGAAGGAGGTGGTCGAATGAACGGAAACCGGAGCGCGAGCTGAGAATCACGGAGAACTTGTTTCATTTCAAACTTTTCTACGCTCGCTACCTTTCCCCCCAGCCCGGGATCCCCAAGGTGGTAAATATTTCAGACATGAAAACAGCTTTTAAAAATGAAAATAGAGATGTAATATTTAAAACAATTCTTCAAAACGCTGTAGGGTGAAAGGCACCTCTGCCAACTTGTTACCCGACAGGAGGCCCGGGCCCAGCAGGACCCCCCCAGGTGTGAACCTGCTCCTTTGGGGGGGGGGCTGTGTCCCCATCCGGAGCAGGAGAGATCCCAATCCCTGGGTCAAACTTCCCCCACCACCACCTGTAGCACCTGTGTTTTGTCTGTAAATCACCCTTTGTAATACTCCCTTGGGTTAAATCCCCTTCCAAATGCAAAACCAACCCCGCAAGCGAAGAGAGGGCTTCAGTCCGTGGGTTTATCTTGAACGCAAAGGGGCCGTTCAGCTCTACCACCTGATTTCTGAACGGCAATCCGTTGTCCTGCCAGTGAGAATCGAGGCCCCGGTTAGAACCTCAGCAGGGGTTTCCGTTCCGCCAGATTTCTTCATTCTCCCCTTTCTTCCGTGTCGGCTTTTCCCCCTTGCGCTCCTCTCTCTCATGCTTCTCGCCCCTCCAAGGTCGCTTTGGGAACTCGGCGGTCCGAGGCCTGCTCGCAGTCAGCCTGACCGTCAACGCCATCTTCACGTCGGCCTACCTCTACCAAAGTTTCCGCTGAGCCCCGGGGAGAACTTCCTTCCTCGCCCCTGACATGGTGCTGCTCCCCGCGGGGAGATCCCGGCGCGAGAAGGAGTCGAGAGCCACCCGCGTCTCCACACCGCCGCTCTGCAACCTCTCCTGCTCGCCTGCCACGAAGGAAGCTGACGCCTCGTTTTTGCCTCGTTGGCAGCCAAGCAGCAGCCAGAGGCACATGCAGCGAGCAATGAACGCAACCCTGGTTACCACGCACCTTCTTTTGTACAGAACTGGTTTGGGGAGACAGACTCACGGAAGCTGTTGGTGGGGGATGTCCAAGCGGGTCCTTGGTTGGGTTCCACTTCTCTGAGCGGATGGCCGCTGTTTCCCATAGTTCTCTCTTTTTTTAGCAGCAATGTTATTGGCTCACAGGAGAGAGTCCTCCGGTGTTTCTCCAGGGCAGCTGCGTTGGCCGGAGACACCCCCTGGCTTTCTCCCAATTTTCTCCCCCCCGCCCCAGGTGTCTTCCGGCTTGCCGCCCCCCAGCTCCGATTCATTCTGGTGCTTGTCGTGACACGTGCCCGCCACACTCGGCGCACGGTTGCGGTGTCTTTATCAATGGCGCGTGGGGGTCTGGTTTTTTAAAAAAAAACACAGAACATAACATATCCGTTCAAGTTGTGCTTTCTTTCTTGACTCTCCGAGAAGGTATCCGTTCTACTGTAACGAGGTGCTTCAACGGAACCGGGGGCACGTTTTGGCCCTCTACGGCCAGTTCACTTGCTCGGATCGGGTCCCTTGCCAAAGCCCACCACTTGGACATGCTGTTTTGAAATAGGGGGAAAGGGGGCCAAGGCCAGAAAGCGGCCGCTGTCTCACCAAGGGGTGTCTCCCTGCCACCGGGGAGTGTCTGTAGTAGTGACGGAGAAGATCCTCCTTGGCTCAGTTTTTTTTACATCCCGTCACCTGAAGAATACCTGCATGTAACAATTGATAAGAAAAAACACAGAACATAACATATCCGTTCAAGTTGTGCTTTCTTTCTTGACTCTCCGAGAAGGTATCCGTTCTACTGTAACGAGGTGCTTCAACGGAACCGGGGGCACGTTTTGGCCCTCTACGGCCAGTTCACTTGCTCGGATCGGGTCCCTTGCCAAAGCCCACCACTTGGACATGCTGTTTCGAAATAGGGGGAAAGGGGGCCGAGGCCAGAGAGCGGCCGCTGTCCCACCAAGGGGTGTCTCCCTGCCACCAGGGAGTGTCTGTGGTGGAGACGGAGAAGATCCTCCTCAAACAAAGGTTCTAGCCTGCTTAATCAGCTAAGTTTTTTTTACATCCCGTCACCTTAAGAATACCTGCATGTAACAATTGATAAGACCTCGTTCTCACATGCTGCAGATGTGGCCGTGAAGCCACGGCTGCGCTGAACGGCTTCAGATCCTAGAGGAGGACTCACTAGAGAGAACTTTCCTGGCATGGGTTGTTTTTTTTTAAAATGCATCCAGAAAATTAGCATATTTGGAAGAAAACTAGGATAGAACTTTCTCCCTGATTGGTGAGCTTTCAGTGTGCAGGGCGGGGTGGCATGGGGGTGCATTCCGTCACTGGAGCCCCACTCGCGGTCCACAAGTGGGGCTCCTGTGACAGAGTGCACCTTCGTGCTGCCCTGCCCCGCACTTAGAAAGCTAACCAATCAGGGAGAAAGTTTTATCCTACGTAACCATCAAGTTAACTGTCAGTCTGCTCTTTAACTACCCCTTTCGTAAGTCCTCCGTCTAAAGATTTCCCATCTGTTCCCTGATGTCTTCCGTATTCATGCCTTCTCACCACATCCTTATCAAATGCTATCGCCCACAGTTCTGGAGCCCGTCTAAGACAGCACTGTGGCCATGTCTTAATCCCCATTTTTCCTTGTCTGAGTGTCAGTAGCTGTTCAGGAATCCAGGTCCTGTCACGTTCCTCCACTCACCGTAATACCCCCTAGTCTTCTTCTTTGAGGCTTTCTGACTTCACTCTGCACATACGTCGGGCTTCAGTGTTCTGGTGACGGATGGAGCGGGCCCGTTTGTGAGGATCTGAAATCGCATAGCTGGAGGCTGAAGAAGCAGACAGTCATTTTTGAAAGCTTCGTGAGGGTGTGTGAACATATTTAGACTCTTTGTCCCATTACGCCTCTGGTCAATCAGGTTCGTCAGGTTTTTGAAACTGTACTAAAACCTGCGCCGTCTGTTGAGCCAGGGCGAGCTTGGACATACTACAGTGGCTCTTTTCTTTTTTTTCTTTTTTTAAAGTACTGTTTGCAGAGAGAGAGAGAGAGGAGAAACCTGTCCTTTGCAATATGGTGCTAGAAACCCTCTGGTGCTCACACACTGATGCAAAACTTCACAACTCACTCTCGTGCAACAACAGTGGAGGTATCTCAAAGGCGTCTCGGCTTACCTCTCAGTTTCCGGCTGCCTTATAACGCAATTTTTGGTGCATTCTTCATCTGGCCACGGTTGTTTTTTCTCTCTCTCTCTCTCGCTCCACTTCCGGTGTGGGAGAATAACTGGTACCAATTTTTCTTTTTTCTGTATGTGTGTGGGGGAGTGTGCAAAAAAACAGAGCTTAAGACAATAGACTTCTCTTTTGCTTCAACTGGGATTGCAAAAAAAAGGGCACCTGAATTTAAATGGCCATCAGTTGGGAGACAGTGTACTGGTTTGAACAGTCACAGGTCTACGGAAGGGAGCATCTCTTCCTTCTCGCACGGGGAGGGATTGTGACCTTTTTTAAAAACACATGCATGCAGTTTTCAATTTGCAATCGATTGCATCGTATGTGTCGACGTATTTTGAGCCATTTGAATTCCGGCACTGTTTGGGCTGATTGGTCACACGGACCGGAGAGACAGGTTTTTCACTTGCGCTCTCATCAGGACCTCATGAGGACTAGTTTCACGGTGAATGTATGAGCGACTGCCTTCAGGAGTATCTCTTCTCAAATACACTGTGTCCTGGAAGGCTGGAATTTTGGGTGGGGGGGGGGGGGGGACAGCACAAAATCGGTTGGTTGTGGGGGGAGGAGGGTGTTGGGGAGGGAGCCGTAGTCTCAACTGGAAAAAGTTGTACGTGTTGTGCTTTATATGTTGTTTTTTTTGGGGGGGGGGGTGTCCGAATCCTGTATAGTTCAGTTAACATTTGTGCTTTAGGTTTGGGGAGATTGGGGGGGGAGCTTTCCCCCTCGTTTCCCCCCCCCCTTTCCTCCAGAAGGTTTTATGTTATGTGTTGGAGAGATTATTTTTCTTTATTAAAAATAAAAATGGATTGTCACATCTCTGTCTCTTGTCACTTGACTGTACATCTGATTTTAAGCTATGCCCCTCCCATTTATAGACGCATTTCTTAATACCCCGCCTGTCCTCTTGGTTCAAGGCGGTTTACAATACTAGTTAAAATATCTCCAGTGGAAACAAAAGCTAAAGCCATCGGATTGCAAGCTGCATATGCGTACAGCAAGTATAGAGGGTTATGCCACTCTTTTTTTCCCCCTTCCACAACGACCCTGCGAGATAGGTCAAGACGATTGGGAGTTTTAGCTCTGAATGGAGATTTGAAGCTTGCCACAAACCTCATGTTCCGTCTTCTACTTCCCAGGAGTAAGGGAAGCACTGGACAGGTAAGGAGCACAGGGCAGGGTTGCAAATCCGTGAGCACCAGTGGTGGTTAGAATGTTGGGCTAGGATTCAGGAGACGTGAGTTCTAATCCCCACTCTGTGCTCGTGGGCCAGCCACACACTCTGAACCTAAGAGGGTTGTGATGAGGATAAAATGAAGGTGAACAAAGTAAGGCTCTTTTAGTCCCCCCCCTGGGTACAAAGACAAGGCACAAATAAATATACCTGTAACCGTGAGGACAGATTCACACGTGTAGGAAGAAGACGAGGAGATTGGATTTATACCCTGCCCTCAGCTACTCAAAGGAGTCTCAGAGCAGTTTACAATCTCCTTTCCCCTCCCCTCCCCACAACAGACACCCTGTGAGGTAGGTGGGGCTGAGAGAGCTCTCTGGAGGACTGCCCTTGAGAGAGCAGCTCTGAGACAACTTGTGACTGGCCCAAGGTCACACCAGCAGCTGCATGTGGAGGAGTGGGGAATCCAACCCGGTTCTCCCAGATTAGAGTCCGCGCTCCTAACCACTACGCCAGAATGGTCGAATGGACTGTTCCACTTTGGACTGCAGGGGGGAGGATTACATTTAAAAATTTCCATGTTAAAAAAAACTCCCTGTGAAGTTTGAGACAACAAGGGAACAGCAGCAAGTTTCTCAGTGGGAAGAAACCCCAAGGGGGTGGGGAGACGCCGTTGCGAGTTTGTATTGTCACATTTTGGGAAGTCATTATGAACAAGATTTTGATACAAAATACAGAAAATCGCCATCTTATCTCAAATTTCTTAGGAAAAAAAACAGGTCTCCTTTATATCGCATACAGAATCAGTGAAAGAATAAATACCTTCAGGTTGTCCTGAAGCTTTTCTCCCTGATGAGCTTTTTGCATCCAGGATGGCTTGTTTGGTCCGTATTTATTCTTTAAAGTCCTCTCTTCTCCCTGAGACTGGAGGTGGGTTGCCCAGCGGTAGGTCAACGCAACGCAAAGGGTAATAAGATTAGGAAGTGGAGGTTAAAACGAGTGAAAACCTTGAGTGAGGCCAAAACAAAGCGTAAGCATTAACATTGAACAAAAAATGCAAAAATTACACCACAGGTGAATATATATAGAAACAAATAGTACATACTACCAGTGTTCCCTCTAAGCTGAGTTAGTGTGAGCTAGCTCACAGTTCTTTAGCCTCCGGCTCACACATTTTTGTCTCTGCTCAGGAAGGAGGGCTCCAGAGCAAACTAATTGATGCAGCAGCCGAATGGCTCACTCACAACTTCACGCCAGTAGCTCACAAAGTAGATTTTTTTTTGCTCACGACTCCACAGCTTAGAGGGAGCATTGCATACTATATACAGTACAGCTCAGTCTTTTTCCATTTATTAAACCATTGTAGAAACTTTCCACAGTGTGGTGTTGGAGGAGAGTTTTACAGGTAACCTGGAGTGCCAGAAAGATAAAGTGCGTTCCAGATCACATGAACAAATTAAGTTGCCTTATACCAAATCAGACTTTCAGTCTATCCGAGTCAATATTGTCAGACTGGCCGTGGCTTTCCAGGGTCCCAGGCGGAGGTCTTTCACATCACCTACTGCCTGATCCTTCCTGGAGATGCCGGGGACCGAACCCGGGACCTTCTGCCTGCCAAGCTGATGCTCTGCCACTGAGCCACAGCCCCTCCCCAGTCAAGCCTGAACTCTTCCTAGAAGCTGAAATGACTAAACTGAGGCTACTGTACTTTGGTCACATTATGAGAAGACAAGATGATGATGCCGGGAGAGAAAGACGCCCCAACAGGACGTGGAATGGACTCCGTCAAGGAAGCTACAAAGGCCCTGTTTGCAAGACCTGAGCAAGGCTGTGAATGACAGGACTTTCAGAGGTCGTTGAGTCATA